TCGACTTTTCAATGAGATGGCCCCACCTATTCACTGATAACCACCAAGGTGGCCGTTCTCCTATCCGCGACCAGAGACAATTCCATTGCTACTAGTCTAGGTATGTACGCATGGAAATGTAATGAAATGATTAAGCAAGATTATTTTGGGTTACTATTGTCAAATTTTGTAGCTTTCTGTCTTCAGCGTATGTATTGATTCTAACGTAGGGTAACCGCATGATAGCAATGGCCTTATATTATTGTAGGCTACATTCGTACACGGCACACTGCGTGGTACGTATTATTGTGCTTGTTATTTGTGACAAGTTGTTTACCGGGTGAAAACTTATCACATTCGTGAGCGCTTACACAGTGAAGAAATGTCCACCTATTTGATCACACGACCTACAGATGCTATTGGTAGCGTAAAGCTCCACTGGTTGCAGACCTTCGTTAATCGGCAGCCTCTATCATGAGACCTCTTTGTTGACAGATCTCCGATTCATCGCATTATCGATACAGAAATGAGTTGTGAGCATAGATGTTCAAGCAAGATTGACGATCATTGAAAGGGACAACTGTAGAATGTCTACTTCCAAGTGAGCTGTTTAAGGTGGCAGCATTCATCTTACACATACGGAAAGGTACTTAGGAACAGACAAGTCTGAAAATAACCTTCGACGATAATGATAGCAATATTACGACTACGAGATTATAGACACCAGACAAAAGGATCCATTGCCAAAAGAAGTAACACTATCATGTGGTCACATTTTCATCCACTATGGAGCACTTCTTCTATTTATTGTATTCCCAACCTTTCGTTCGATTGTTTCTAAATTTGGTTACTTGAGTATAGCCCGATGAGTGCTTGTCGTTCGTCTAAGCGCGGATTCTATAAACGCAGTCGACTCACTTTAACAAGACCCTTCTCATCACCCGTTGCCCATTGATTTTCGCCAGTCACAACCACAGCGGAAATCGGTGTGTGCTCATGAGCTTGAAGCAACATCCATACACGCTTTCCAGATTCAATATCATGAATTTTGATCGCACTATGCGTGGATGTAGAAACAAGCAAGTTGGACTCCACGATAAAAAAGGCGAGGCCCCGAATAGACTTATGCCATCGTCTCTGATAAACACAAAGCGGTGTGCTCTTTGGACTGCAATCGAATCTGAAGAGGAAAAGTATGTGAAACGAATAAATAAATAGATAAATACCCTGTTGGTAAAAAGATAATCCAACTCCACAGGAACTAATCATATTCGATCTCATTTAACTACCTGGAACTGTGCTCACAAATCCAAAAATAAGAGACGCAATCGAGCGCATTCTTTGACGAAGGCGGTTGACCTCCATTGACTAATATAAAAAAATGATAACCTTTGGTACGTATGTTTATTTCGAACAGAAAACAGGGAAATCCGCCGCTAGTGTATCGAAAGTTTTCAGTTAGGTTTAATTTATACAATCAGCAACCTTTTACCTTAGTGCGATGGGTCGGATGGCTGGAATTCTGTAGCTCATTTGGGTGAGGGAGAGAAGGGAAGATATAGGTACAAGTAGGCTTATTTAGCGAAGAATAAGGGTAGACAAAAGATTCCCACAGATTACGACAAAATTATGTACCTAGGTGCCAAGTCGGGGAACCTAACGCGACCCGGGTACCCAAGACCAGTGGAATTTTGGTTACCCTCATGCCAGATATTAGTTTAACCAGGCCTTTCAATAAGAAGATCCAGTCTTCAGATACGTAAAAAGTAAGGTTCTAAGTTATTGCAGAAACGAAAGGGAAATTCTCAAGGAAGGATTACAAAAGGGAAGTGTTCGAGAAAACAAAGATTGTGTTATTTTTTTATATAATGTGTGCTTCCACTAAATGATGAGTTTTTTTTTAAAGGAACAACGCAACATGCCAATCATTGTGGCTTAAAGGCGTAACCATCGAGGCCGTGAACTAGAGACTAGCATTGCCTTTCGGGCCCCAATCTCGGAACCAGGTGCTAACAGCAGGAGGCACATTACAAATCGTTCTTTTCAGCCTGTGGCACCAGGTCATGTGTTTTCCGCNGCCGCGCGGCCTCCTCTAAACGAGATCGCAAACGGCGAACAGGATGCGGCATGATAAGCGGTTGGTTGAAATTCGTAAAACATGACGCAGCTATCTGAGCCTCTGGAGCGATATGGTATCTACAATCGGGCAAATGTGGGACCCCCCGAATACTAGATGTAGAACTGTTTCGTCAGGACGATGAGGTTATCAGAAGATCACAATAGTGTGAGCACTGTTCGCCGCTGATATGCAGTTCATGCATCTTTGGGCTGGCCTGTGCCTAGCTGGGGTGCACAGAGCACCGACAAATGATCGGATGTAACTATTTTCAACCGAGAGTGGCTTCATTATGTATGGTGTGCCACGTTCTTATACAAGAAACCCAGATTCAACCTCCAGCTTTCGGGCACTTCTGATGTCTGTTCGTGACTATAAAGCAGTCAACCCCAAATTGAACTGGGGTTAGGGCAGAGGTGCTCGCGTGGTCAAACAGATGGAGCTATGGACACAAAGAAAATAAGGTTGTTGAAATAGACTCTACAATTAGTCCGTTAAATGCGACTGACAGAATGAGAATGGATTCGGAGATCTATAACGGCAACCTGTTCACTACGTTCAGCCCGCTTTGGACAGACCCTGCAGGATGCCCTGAGGACAGAAACCGGTCGATAGAGGGAAGGCGAGCCTACAGTCATTTCTACTCTTGAGAAAGCATAGGTTGGCTGTAGTACGTAAACTATGCGATCGACAATCACGAGGCCTCAAGATATTACGGGATTCCTTTGATTAGGAAAAGACGTGAAACAGTGGATCGCTTCAGCAAGGNTGTGACTACTTGGTACACTTAGTGTTAACACAACAAGAAAAAGGAGACTTACAAAAGCGGAGGGGTTAGCTCTGACCGGAATATTCATGTGTCCGGTTCAATAAAAAGGAACACAAATCCAAAAGATAACAGCAACCACTAAGTTTGACATGTTGCTTACCAAAAAAGTAAAAATGCACCGCGTGATTTTGCAGGATATGGAATTGTGGATAAGAAATAATCAAGTACAGTTCGAACTTCTGAATGTACCTCACGAAATATCCTGTATGGCACAGCTTCTCGAATGGCCACTGAAGAGGAGGCCATAACTGCTGTGATTACGTGCCGCTGGAGTGCTAGGACGAAAAGCCACCATTTCAGGCAATAACCAAATTGGTGAACCGCTGGCACTCCACACTGGGGAAATGGCAGAAGATTTCTCCCACCGTTGGGAGGAAACCCGAGGTATCCCGATCCTAAGCCCACCTGTCGAGGGCTTTTCAACGGGTAAACTGCTCCTCACTGTGTTTACATGCTGTAGCAAACTATCCAGGGGCGACAGTGGACAGTTAAAAAAACCAGGAGGTACACAAATGCCTGACCGTCTGAAACCGTGCCTCGTCTGGCCCCTGTCCATTGAACATTGACATCAATTCATAGTATGCGTGTGTGTGCGATGGCAATGCGTGAATGGCTGCTCGAAGTTCGTTAAAATGTTGCGCTTAAAACATGGTGCGAATTTATGAAACCTACTGAACAGAAAACAACCCATTTCGATCATTTCAAAAGTTGCGCGTCTGCTACATCTTCCAGCGAGAGATACTCTTACTGAATTGTTTCCCTTTCTTTTCATTTTACTTCCTTTAATTGAATATACAAATGTACAATTTTCAGGAAGGGCGAACGACACCCAGATATATATGAACGCTCAGGGGTTCCATTGAGCCATCCAAATGTTTGCGCATCTATCTGTAACCGCCTCGCCAACAATAATTCTTTGTGAAATATTGCACTTTTTACAAAAGATCATTGTACTGTGATTTGTGTGAAACACAGTTTAGACTCAGGCGTATGTGAAATATATAAATACATACTGAAGATTATAAAAAAAATAAGTGTAAATTGCCATTCTGGGAAACCAAAAATCATCTTTTATATTTGGTTTTTTAGTGCTTTGGATCCTACGGTCCGAGCCCGGCCACAGCCACCCAAATTTGGTGTTAGACAGCTTTGCTGACGCCCGGTTCAATACCACGCCTAACTCGTCCGAGCCTTTAGTGGTTCGCCACTCCAAGTCCCGAGGCTGAGGTTACCGGTTTTCATGACGGAACAGCAGGTCTTCGTCACTATGGGGTTCGTCCCCTCTGTTGTTCACCACACAAATGTGTGTAGTAAAGAAATGTGGACTAGGCAAGAGGTAACGGAAAATCAATAAACTTACAGTCGTAATTTGCCCGCATTCGTACCAACGGCTAGCAAGGACTTTCTCGTGTCCGGCTGAAAGCAAACGGAGCTGATTCCGTCAAACCCGATCGGAAGGGAGATTTGATGTGATGTGGGTAACATACTCTATACAAATTGATGTCTGTGCAAAAAGAGAAAAGTAAAAAAACGCCTTGACAGTAGATTCCTCTTTATCCCCAACCACTCCCCGATTTTAACAACACACTCAAGGCCAAGTACTCCAAAACAATACAGATACGTATAACGATTTAGGCAACCAACAAAGAAATGCCGGTATCCCAAAATTGTCTTCTTTCCGATCCGATAAAGTATTACTGTTTGAAACAATTGAGGTTAGGCATCTACGTATAACAGTGAAAAAATCCACACCAATAGACCTTAAAAAGAAAACAGATGAAAATATTAACCGTATGTAAATCATTACAGTTTCGTACAATAAACTCCTTAAAAACAAATGGCAGCTATTTCACTGCGGTCCATTATCGAAACACAGACCATTTCAAATTCAGGTCAACTGCGAAAATCAGCATACAACGAACATCAAGTGAAAACATAACTGCGACGACGAGTCCATGCAAAAAGTGGACAGATTATTTCAGTTGTTATTTCAATTGCATCACCTTGATCTGACCTAATCACCTTCATCTTCATCGTAGAGCGAAATACAGAAGGGTGAAATTCACTGATCGCTGCCAAACTCGCAATGCATGCAAGGTTAGTGGTAAAATTTAAGATGGACAGGAATTGCATCTATTTTGAGGGAGGAGGAGGGTGAACCTCTATGATCGACACACAAAGTACGCAATCGAACTCTGCATAGATTCCGTTTCAAGCATTCAAACTCAATAAGAAACGACAACAAGAACACCACTGCTATCGGTTCGCTGCCATATCCTTCAATGTATCCAACCAACCGGTTGTTAAGTCTTTCGGACCACAACCAGGAAGGCGAGAGACGCCTACTCTACCAAATGGCTCTGTGCATTTCTTCATGCCTCGTCTCCACGTCATCTGTTGACCTCCACGTGGTCTCCTCCAGCCCGGATTAGCTACAGCGAATAACGCGTGGTGCGGCAGACGATGGCTGGGCATACGCAATACGTGCCCTAGCCACCGAAGCCCACTAATCTGAATTCACGGTGTTAGGAGGTTTGTACCTGATAAACTCCCAAACACACGACGAATTACCTCAGCGTTACTAACCCGTTCGCTCCATCCCACGTGGGCTAAACTGCGTAAACACCGATAATCGAAAACTTCTAGTCGTCGGATATCTGCTTCTCGCAAATTCAGGATCTCACAACCGTAAAGCAGAACTGAACGAACACTAGCACAATATACACGACCTTTCAACTTCAGTGAAACATAGCGTCTACGACAAAGGTGTTTCAATCCTGCGTACGCTGCTCGAGCCTTGGAAATGCGGGCGGTCATCTATCTTGCTGCACTACCGTCTTTGGTCACGCAACTACCGAAGTAGGAAAAGTAATCCACCACAATTAAATCCTGGTCAGTTAGTTTTAGAGCGGGAGTAGACGAAACCCAGTCCTACAGCATCACTTTGCACTTTGAAGGTGCAAAGCACATGCCGAATGCAGTAACAGCACTTGTTGGTCTATCAAGTGCGTTTTGCATGTCCTCCAAACATTCGGACAGACAGACGATGTCATCGGCGTACTCTAAATCGGACAGCTTCTCTCCAACCCATTCAACATCTACATTTTGGAGAACACTAAGTGCGTTCTCCAGCATTTCGTCTTCGATGAACCCATCGGAGCTTTGCGGTCAACTGAGTCGAACGCCCCTTTCAAGTTAAGAGACACTGCCACCATTGGTCGATGGTGGGTGTGACGTAGCTCAAAGACTTGGCGCAACGTAAACGTTTGACGAATATATCCACGACCGAGCCAGAATCCGGCTTGTTGTCCACGGATGTGGACAAACGCCTAATCACGATCGAGGCTAGCACTTTGGTAACGATCGGGATCAAACTTAACCCGCGGTGGTTTTTGCAATCGTCGTGAAATCCTTTCTTGAAAATAGGAATGATCAGTGATTCGCCTCAAGATGAAGGAATGTGCTCTTGCGTCAAAATGTTGCGCAATAGGAAAGTAATAGAGCTTACAAGGTTATCGCCCTCCATCTTGAAAAGAGTGCGAGAGAGCTCATCCGGTCCTCGCTTCAGAGCTTGAATACAAGACCGAACTTTTGCTTTTGCTAAGGGATCGCATGACAATGCCCACGGAGCTTCAGTTGCAGATGGAGCAACCTGGTTAGCACTAGATCAGTTGAACTGTTCGCTGAAGTATTCCGCTTAGCAATCAAGTCGTTCAAGCCTATTGTGAACAGCTTATCCGATCTTATCGCAGAGTATTTCACTAACTGGAGTTCGCCAACCTCACCGTATCGCGTAGCAGTCTCGACGGTTTGACTATTCCACGATGTAGCTGCTACTTCCATTTCACTAGCTATTGTTGCCCACCGGGTCTCACGGTCCTTCTCGAGCTGACGTTGCAGATGCCACCTAACTCTATATTGATCCTGGCGAGTCGAGATTTGTCTTATTTCTCCATCAAAACTACTGACTCCAGAGTTATCCAATGCCTCTGACGGGCTTAATGACGTTCCTGGTAATGAAATGCCACTCCAGCTATAGGGCACCTTGATTTCTAATAACTGTCCTTTCAGAGCTACTGAGATATAAATGGTCCGAAAGATAAATACCAAGGATAAAAAGTGGCACATAAACTTGTTTTAAATGGATGATAATACAACACAATATGTACGACTGATCACACAGAGCAGGTCGTGAGAGGGCGAAACAGTCTGCTGAGTGCTCTTCACGCAAAAGGTCTCAACTCTGTTAACTCTCAGTCTACTAGTGTTACTACCCCTGAAAGACAGTACACCAGACTCATCATTCTATTCCCGTCTACTTTCGCCAGTTTTTCATATAATACAAGGGAAAAACGGGTGCATAACTAAGGAGCTGTCGGAATGCATCGGTTGGCGGCGATCTAGAACGAACTTAAAAATCAGAAATCAGGGACCATAAAGGATACCACGGTACTGCTTGGTTTCTGTCAACAATGAACAAAATTTAATCTGTTCGGGAGCTTCATAACTGATCGCTTATTGTGAGGCTAATTTTAGGATAATCGGTTTCCGTGCAAATTGATTCGTGCCGAAAGGACAATTGGTGAAACGAATACTGGTTTCATCGGATATGACGCGTATGGGAAATCTCGTGTGTATAGACATTTTCGGTTTGGTTTGGCACAGGCCTTGGGACGCTTCAGTCACACATTCGGAGTGATCAGGGACTTCAAGGTGCGAAATCAACACACCAGGGATCAATTCATTCACCGAATTTCTCAGTCAAACATCTAGTAGTGTTCAAAATTCTTTAAGCCAGGGAATAAGTAAATACAGAATAAAGTAACAGAATCATATCTTTGATCTCACGACGTGTACAAACTGCAGAGATCACCACCACATTGCCCCGTCGGTCGTGTGTTCAAATCTCATCGCCAATGTCCAGCTTTCCTTATCATTTATTGGTATCCTATGACAGCCCGTGGATTGGCCGCTTTTCCCTTCTTGAAATTTGACAGCTTAGTCACATAGTTTGTTTGAATCGCACAAATAGACTGGATGAGTTCACTTCGATTTGATTATTCCTCCGGCAATTTGACATTATTCTCGAGGATTGGTATTATTAGATGAAACTTGGTGAACAGACGTCATGAACTACACAAGGCACAAACATTTTCGTTTCCATCAATGAATGGTTCACCTCCACACATGATTGGCTTCCATATCAGAGGTGAATCAGTTGGTTAAGGAAAGTTGACTAAGCCTCGTTTTATGACGCTTTGTATTATTTCACCTGCTTAGGCGTGTGAAGTTGCCATTAATAATGAATGCTTAAAAAGGAAGTATTATATTTCGAGGCTGAAACTGGCGCTATAGCGGATTGAGAGGCTCGAACTCTTGGCAGATTTCCTGTAAACTCAAATCTGTTTACCAAGTTTTTCTAACAATACAAAACCTCGAGAACGATGTGTGAAATTGCCGGAGAAATGAGGGAATAAAAGTGAAACATCGGGACCGCGGTTAGGGGTATAACGTGTGTAGATGTACACTGCCCAGCGCGGTGAACAGATGAATGTGAATAGGTGGATCCTATGGCACACCAGAAGCCGAACGAACAATACGATGTCAGTTGTATCAAACAAATGAACCAACCTAGAAGATACTTTATACAAGGCACAGCAGCAACTCAGTAGCGATAGAAATCACTGCGATAACCAAGAAAGAGCCCTGCACAGCTACTTCGTTCTGGTTAGGACTCGCGAGCCGTGTATATTCTTTGTGTCCATAGAAGGACTCTAAACACAATAATCTAGTTTCACACAGAAGAATGAATCGCGACTGTCTTTACAAGATTACCGAGGCCATTTATATTGACGAGTTACAATAGGGATTAATTCATCTACTGGGACATCCAGTGAACGCACTTGCACTCTAGCTGTGTGTGATCAGGTTTTCGATCTTCAGTAGGATCAACTTATTATAATTGGCAAGGCTGAGGCCGCTACACTGATTCTCGGCCTTTCAGTTCAAGTTAATTCCACTCGGTTTACGTCGGAATCTGTCGAAAAATAAGTTTACTTCAAAATATTCGCTAGAACTACGAACTGAGCATGAAAAAATATGAGAATTAATATTATCGATATCTGATATAAGTTAGTCCCAATAAATGAAATCGAAAAACACGTGATGATCACGTTGGTGTTGTTTACAGAAACAATGTTAGACATCGTCAATGCGACTTCCAACTCGACCACGTTCCATTCTACTGTGAAGATCAGTAACCAAGTCAATCAAATCAGCACCCTCAGTAAAGTGGGAACTACCGTTAGTCGTTTTGAGCAAAACCCAACCCATTACCGTAACTATGGAAAACGCGTCATTTTTGTAATAACATGCGTACCGTCCACAGGTCGTGAGCGCACAGTGCAGAATCAGACGATTGGTCACTCCATCACAGAGAACTCTGGAATACCTAAAAAGACTGCAAGTGTCTTGGGTGGTTTTGCGAAAAGTTGTTAGCTTTCTAGTACGTTGGATGAAACATATTTGACGCCCGAGAGATATTCACATATTTAAATCATCTGATATACTGATGATTATCAGTCACCGTCTTCAGAAGTTCCTCGTTATCGCACACTTCATTCGTGCTTTAAAAGAGAAAAAAACATGGCTGAATTTATTATGCTAGGCTTTTGAAATTTCAAAATGCGATTTGTAAGCTACATCTATTCATACCTGCGTAAAAAACTTTAAAACGAGCATCCGGAATTTAGTGTTCTCTAGAATATTAGACCGCGAGTCTTGTGGCCTTTGTGAAATTGTTATTGAGAGAAACACTCCAGGGACTTGGAGTTTTGGTGCAAACATAACGCAAGTGGGAAAGAGGTCAGCATCAAGGCTAGTTGCGAGCAAGGACCTTGAATTTAACCAGATGACACGCACTCACATCCTAGTTGCTGTAATACGGTTCGCCACAGTTCATCGGAACCATCTTTCGGCAGTTGATGTTGACAGCAGAAAGCAGGTTGCTCACAAAAAGGAAGAAGTCATATTTACGTGAACAATGGCTGATTTCGACAACACTACAAAACTAGTTCCAGTTCGTTGAGCACTGAAGTGTTAAAAGTTCCAAGTGGAGAACTGGAAAGTTATTTTGGATGTGTGCCTACATTGCACGAGATTATGATCTAAAGAACGTTGTGAAGAGATTCCTGTGTTTACAGTCACCCGAAAAAAATTGATTAGATATGAAAGACGATCGAGACATTTGTATTTGAAAATCTTATGAAAGAGTAACTCTTTTGTTTGCATGCAGTAATCGAAAACACGAGATCAGACAACACTCCAAATAAGTGAACCCGAGCTGTTGGTAGAAGTTTGAGGATGAGAAGTTTCTGATAAGCTGTATAACTGTCGCGAATATTCACCCGAAATAGAAAAAAAATGAAAAGGTTTAACTACAGGAGACAGCGAAGTCAAAAGCAGTTCACAATTAAATCTTTTCACATATTGGAGAACTGCGACGCAAAGTTTTTTTCCTGATTTCTTTGAAGCGCGAAAGCCTTCAGTAATATTACAGTGCCAATGAGTAAGAGAAAGGCACTGACAATTTCTTTATTATTTATTCTTTTGCCTGGACGTCCTTCCAGAGTGAATAAATCTGATCTGTTCCGACTATGATATTAAAATTTGAACCCTTGCGATTCAAGTACGGGAAAAACAGTGGGTTCATTATCAAACGAAAAAAGATGTCCTAAAAGAACAAGACATTTCAAAAACAGTAATTATTATTAAATGAAGAAAGTGTATTTGAGGAAGCTTCAGTACAATATATTACATAGGAACCGATATGCTTTATCCAGGTTGATCGGCAGTAGCGGCTCGAATAGTTTTCCTCGGAGGCACAGCAGTATTCAAGCTTTCGGCCCATGTCATGGAACCGGACAAAACCGGAGCCAGTGCTTGAAACACCTGCACGGTGCTCAGCACATGACGACCGTTAATAACCATACCGGACTCGGCGATCGGCAGGCGTGCGGTTCGATGTGCACGGGAGACGGCTTTTTCATAGCAGTGCCCTATGTGGTGATTGTGGTCTACGAAACCACCGATCACGTAAACATCGTCAACAGAGAATTGTGCAGTGGAATTCTCGATTACATTGTATACAGGAAAACGATCCGGGAGTAGGTTGGGGGATTCCGCACACAGGTAAACAATTGAGCTGGGGTTGAATAATGTGCTGTAATCCTCCTGAAATTAAACAGTGTTAAAAGTTGAAGTTAGGTAACATTACTCGAAATAAACATGAGTGAAAAAGCTGGATTTTAAAACAGACTGTTGTACGACGCCTTACAATATGAACAGTGAAAGAAAAGAGTCATGCAAGCGTCGGACATTCGGTAGGCCTGAGAAGTCAAGTCAGGAAAAGCTATCTGCACCCAAAAGGTGAATTTTCAGCAGTTTACGAGTTTTACGGTGGATAGTTAAAATAATGGTAATAAAAAAATACAGTATGAGAAATTCTGCACTTTAATAAATGAGAAAAAATTAGGACAAGAGCTTTTCCCTGAGGTGGGTGAGGATATGCTGACGATTTGCTAGTAAACGAGGTAGGTAAGGAATTACACTGTTTCGATAGGTGAAAGTCCGCGCAGGAATGAGTTGATATTTGGAGCGTGTCCGGGGAATCGACAGGGCTTTCGCGATATCTTGGTGCAGACAGTGCCCTTGATCATGCATTATCCTGTCAATGAATGTATCACAAGCGTCAAGATGCGTGGAAATAAAGAAATCAACTAAAACAGTTTTATCAACTCCACTGTAGCGGGACAAAAGTTTAAGGGATCTTGAAAATAAAGAGAAGTCTTTTTCTTTCAGTCCGGGGATAAAAATCGGGGAGCAGTATAGCCAGTGTGGAAGAATGCAGGCAATCACAAATTTAATAATAAGATTAGGCGGTACGGCCAGTTTCGTGAGCCTGTAAGCATAGAAGGAGAATTTTCGAACGTTTGTGAAAACGTTGATGACATGAGCAGGCCAGGACAGGTTATGGGTAAGGGTGACGCCAAGGTATTTAACAGATGTAGATTTGGGAATACTTTGATTGTTAATTCTAAGATCAGGGAGATTACCACCAAATGAAAAATAACGAGGACCGGTTTTAAGACTAAATGGAACTTTAATGCACTTACTGACGTTAAGTTCAAGAGATCGGTTCACAGACCAATCGTGAAGTTCATTAAGACTGTCCTGAAGAGGTCGAAAACTGTCTGAAATAGGGGCTGGGCAACCAATCACAATATCATCAGCATACTTATAAGCAATAAAGTTGGTGGGGATGGGCAAATTTTGTATATACATGGAAAACAAGAAAGGGGACAAAATGGCATCCTGAAAAACCGGCTTCAATGTTAATAGAAGATTGTACACCATTGAGTGAAGTGAGCTGTGTCCTGCAGGAGAAGTAGTTGATTAGTATATTCAAGACCTCAGGAGTTAGACCACACTCAGAAAGACGACCAATAAGCACACTTTGGTCGAGAGAACCAAAAGCGTCTGTATAGTCAAGAAAAGTTAAACGAGTGGTACCGACGCCATTGTCTAAGACGGAACCAACAGAATGAACAATTTGATCAACGGCGTCAAGTGTGGATAAATGTGGTTTATAAGCAAATTGTAAAGGGTCATGGGCGTTAGTGGGGTATCATGCGGTGCAGCAAAACATTTTCAAAAGCCTTCAGCAACACAGATATGCAGGCAATAGGATGGTACTTAGACGATCCTTTCTTTGGGACTGGTCTGATCCTGGCTGACCTCCAACAATCGGGGATCGTTCCAGATGACAAACAAGGACTAAAAAATTCGGCAATGGGTGTCGCAAGCTGGCCGGCGTACAGGCTTTCAATAAATGAGGTGCTAATCCATCGGGACCATGAGCTTTATTGGCCTTGATTCTCCTCAAAACTTAGAGGACCTCGTCCGGAGAAACAGGGTTAATTGCATCACGGGTAGGAAACGGAGGTGGGAGGGAGCTAGATGCAGGTACAGAAGCAAATTGACAGTTAAGTACCTCTACGTTGGGACAAGAACTGATGCGTGAGCCACAGTTTCCGCAAGCTACTCCACATCTCACGAAAGTTTTTATTGCCCAAAACAGTCTCGACGTTCAGGCGTCTTACTTCTCCTCTAATGAGAACAGAGAGCTCTTTGACACTGTTACGCCTGCCGGCCATATATGCCGTCTCTTGAGCATGACGAAGTCGCTTAAGAAGGCGAAAGCAAAACCTATCGGTTCGAATATAAATAGTTTAAAACCGGACAGCATTGGTCATAGCATAAATTAAGATAATCGGTAAAAAGTTCACAAGAAATGTTCCCTTGAAGAAAGGTAGGTAGTTTCGGGATAAGTAGACACATGAAACTGAAAAATGGTTGAATACCACATGCAATTTTAATTTCTTCGATACATAAAGGATAGGCAACACGGTAGATCTAAATTCCGTTGTAAATCAAGAGTTTATAATTATAAACATTGGGAACAACTAACGTGATTAACCTACTTTTCATCGATCCAGGTTATTTTGTCAACAAATTATCGACTGATTTTTATGCTACTTGTTNCCCACTTTTTGAAATTCCCGAGGGGTGCGACATAGCAGGAGATTGACTGTAGTACGCAAAATAATGCGGTTGGCGGTTTCTTTTAACAATAAAAAATTAACAAGACCGCTGAGGGCGAATTCCTCTGACCCAAAGAATAACTACGGAGTGCTCCATTCATTACCCCGTGTGCTGACGGGAATTGCGGTGACGTGTTTCAAATGAGATATCTGTTATATGTATGCCAAATTATTGATATCCTAACTGTAATCTGCAATAAACAACTATCTTCGACCAGACACCACCTCGTGGAATTATAACAGGAGAAGCAGGGCGACGGAGGTTTACTTCGAAATCACGAACTAAGAAAGAATACCAATGGCCTGAAAAATATTGGATGTAAAGAATATACAAACGTTGAGGAAGAATTACGAATAGNAGGATATGTATCTCTATAACATTGTACTTATGAGCTATTTTACCACTCGGTAACCGAATGCAGTGAAGAGATTTGATCTGAGGAACCTGGACCACAGCCTTCCACTGCACAGTCTAGCCAGTATTGAAATAAACTCGCGCACTGACTCCGAAGTTCAGTAGGGATAGGTTTGCATTCGGTCGGATCACATGCGTCCCTGATGTCTATGATACCCAATAAAGCCTATTCTCCAATCAAGTCAGTATATCTGAGAGGTAGCTCGTCAAGAATGAATTGGAATAAGGATTTTCCAATCCCCTCGGAGAAGTTATCTGCAGTGGAAAGACAACACTTCTCCAGTACAAGCTAAGAAATTAGGTCATTGGTATCACTTCGAGAAGAGTTTGGTATGATGGAATCAATTCGCCTGAAGACGCTGTCCGGACATAGTCAGGTATTTGGAAACAGTACCGCGTCACTCTTTATGAAAGATTCAAATGAACCTGAAACCAAAATGCAATGCTCCTAATTGAGCTGTGAGAATCTGAGAATGTGGTGGTCACATCGAAGCTGACAGTAGAAAGAAATGCCAAGTGAAGGAAACCTTCTCAGTGGATTGATGAAGCGCCACGACAAATGTTGTTACAGTATTCACTGGTGGAATGGAACTACGCGATGAAAGTGAAAAGAAAACGCCTGGAGACACCAACAAAAATACACAACAAAGAGCTCAGTTAGATGCAAAAGGATAAGAGCGGAATAGAGAAAGAAATCACGAGGAACAGCACAATTTCCAGGAGGAATATACCACGGAGTGACATTATAACGTAATACGGGACAGGTAGCATGAAATTCTTTCAGGGATTAAGGACCGAAACTCTAGACAATGGTAAGGCTGAAGTAAGAAATAGGAGAAAGGGAGATGTTGTGAGATTAAGTGTGTCCGGATCGATGACAGCCACGGAGGAACGATAAAAAATGCAGAGTGATGAGAAACAACACTGTCGTTGAAGTGTGTATCGAGCTCGTGGTGTCGAAGGGATCATTAGTGATGAGCAGGTAATAGAAATCATCGGAAGCCTGGAATGAAATCGCACTACGGTGACGGAGAAGAATACTGATCCGATTGTGGAACGACGAAGCTATTCGGCTAAACCGGCATATGGAAACACCAAGGAATGTTTTGAGGATCAATGCTATCCGCATAAGGCAGGGACCAAGCGTTTGAAACAAACGTGCCAACATTGCTTCTTACGGAACGAAATGGTGGAAAAGTAAAAAGATAATATGGTGTGACGGAAATTACCGTTCCTGCAGTACAATATTGACGAATACCGAAAGCGAATCAGGCGTCAGTTGGATCAACTGAAAGTAATTTTCTATAAAATAGCAAGATGATGCATGATTCAAGCCTGAAATTGATAACCGACGGGTTTCCTCAGCCCTGTGCTGCTCTTGGTGAGTTGGCTCAATCTTTCTGTACATTGATCGCGAGCTCCGCAGTCGGACCCTACTTGTGTAACTTTCAGTTACCTGTAAATCGTATGCTGCGCTGTATCTGTCGGACTCTTCATTGAAATTTATCTTCAACACTGTCTCCATTAATTTATCCGTACGCAACAACCGCATGATTCCTTCAGGATTCCCTGCTCTTCTTCCAATTCATTGTTATTCTATTTCATCCACTACCTTCCACCAAAGTTAAAACGAAAAGTGATGGGTTGTTTATTTACCACAGCACGTCTTCTACTTACTTTTTCCTTTTGAGAACTCTTTGGAGAGGCTGTAGCAACCCACAGTGAAGATTTACGGTATGCACACTAGTGACTGATTCTCGGGAATATCCCGTAGAGCTTTTAACCAATGAAGTTCCTCATTTCTTAGGGCAAAGTTAGGCAGCAAGTCAGGACCGACCGAAATCAATATTCACCTTGCCTTTTACATACTTCCTAACCATGTAGTGGACTGACAGTCATTACGATTCTTTCCCTTGTGTCCATGAATCGAAAACGGTCAGTATAGAAGATGATATGTGAGCATGCGTGGATCAGCGACCGGAGCTGGTATAGAGCAATTATATCTGCATTATAACAACCCTCCACCAACATTTTTAGTAAGCATTACTTATCGAGATACAAGTAACTGTCAGTGGTGGGAATTTACAAACAAAGAGAGGGCAATTGTCCCGAGTGCTAAATTATTAAACCAATGATAGAACCAACATCGTT